CTGCTGGGTGGCGGCAGGTCCCAGCACTAATAAGCTAGAAGGAGAATTCCAAAATGGTGCTTGCCAGCTCCAGTGTCCTTGCAATAGAATGAGCTCCCCCAAACGCCTGCCACAGTGCCTGTGTCCCCAGAGGGAGCTCCAGTTCCCTCCTGCCTCTCCAGGAGGGAGGCTCAGCAGGAGGCTCTCTGAGACCAGCAAGTGTATCTAACTCAGGCTTCTTTCAAATGACCACTTCTGCTTTTGGTCTCAGAGTGTGTGAGACATTGTGTGTGCTCTTTAAGAGAGAATTCTCTGTTACCCGCTGGCTCGCCCCAAAGCAAGCCCCACTGACATTCAAAGCCAAATGTTCTGGGGGGTTCATCTTCCCAGTGCAGGACCCCCAGGCTGAGGAGCCTGATCCTGTGCTTGGACCCCTCATTCCTTAGAGAGAAACTCTGCAGTTGTGATTATCTTCCTATTTGTGGGTCACCAACCTGGGGGTGTGGGTCTTGACTATACTGTGTCTCTGCCCCTTCTACCCATCTGGTTGTGGTTCCTTCTTTATACCTTTAGTTGCAGAAGATCTTTTTTGCCAGTCTTCAGGTCATTCTCATCAACAGTTGTTCTGTAAATAGTTTTAATTTTGGTGTGCCCAGAGGAAGAGGTGAGCTTAGGGTCTTCCTACTTTACCATCTGGTCTACACCCCTCAGAGCATTTTTAACAATGCCTGCCCTGGGGAGAAACTGTTTCACTTGAGCCTAAACTATTGGTGTTTTTCGAAGCCTAAGTGAACAGGGGAAAGGGAAATATGCATGCAGGAAAAATGGATAGAACTGCAAAGAGAAATAGATGGAGATGGATCCACCATTACAGAAGACTTCAAACACCTCTCTACCAGAAAATGGCCAAATATAGCAGGCAGAAAATCAGTAAGAATATAACTGAACTCAGCCTGCAGTCAGACTCTTCTCCCCAGATGTCTGCCTTTATCACACTGCTCCATAATTAATAACCTTCATTAGTTTCCCACTGCCTGAATGGTGACACAGAAACTCCTGAGCATATCCAGTGTGGCTTTCTCTGACAGCTCAGGGAAGAGGATCTAAGGACTGCTAGAGGGTAGAGGCTCTGGGAACAGAACAGCATATGGGAGAGACATTGAAAGAAAACCACGTAATAAAATCTGAGGCACAAAAGTATACAGGATGATTCAAAAATGACAGTGGTATCTGGGTCATTTGGGAGACTGAAGCCCAAAAGCTATTTGTCGAGTGGACCAACAATGCTCATTATTTGGGTGACAGGACGGCAGCCTTTGTGGTTTGCACAGCATTCTGTGGATGGAAACATCTCTACTGAAACTGAATGCCCCAAACCTAATTTCTGAAGTCAGGAATCTGCCCTCAAGGTGTATCCCTTGTCCAAATTGGGTATTTTGGCCTGACTATGGCAATGAGAGAAATCAAAGTGGATATCAAACTTACTAAATCGCAGACTGTTATTCACAGGGGAAACTCGGGCTGATGTGCAGGGGCAAGAGGGAGACTTCATCAGAAAGAAAGAGCTCTGATTCTGGAATCATCTACAGTCATCCAACAATCATTTACTATGCATTTGGTATTTTAGGGTTTGTGACACTTAGCTGTCTAGGAAAAATGAGAGAGGCAACTGTCCCATTACTCAATGATTCTGCACCATGGGATGGGAGCACAGTGTTTTGCACATTAACTTCACAGAGCTACAATGACCAGAGGAATGATGTGATCACGCTGACATGGACTGTGAAGGGTCGAAAGGGTAGATGATTGAGGGCGAGGGGAAGACAAGGGTATAGTGACAAATGTGACCAGAGAAGTCAATAGAGATTGAGTTAGGGATTTTGAAAAGCTAGGGATTTTGAATTGGGAATCTTGAATCACAGTAATGGATGAACTCACTATGGTGGCAAAGAGATTCATAATAATACTAAGATGTTATTTGACCTTCTCACACTCATTCTTTCTTGAGTGTACAGTGGAGTTTTCCAGAGGCTATAAGACACGCAATGTCACAACTGCTTGAATGTAGAAGCAAATATGAGAATGCTGCTATTAAGCCAGATCTTAAAGATAGTTGCAGAAATGTTACATAATACCATTCTTCTAACTGTTTTTGTTTTGAAAATTATATTGGGTTGGCCCAAAGTTTATTCGGGTTTTTCCGTAACATCTTACGGAAAATCCCAAATGAAATTTTTGGCCAACCCAATAGTTATTTTTCATAAAAACATGACATTAATATTAGCAAGTATTGGGTTTATTATTAATTTTAAATTAATTAAAATATATAAATATTTTAATCATTTAAAATAAACTTTATTTTTAGAAGTTTTATAGTTGTAGAAAAATTACAAAGATAGTACAGAGTGCCCATATACCTCACACTCAGATTCCCCTATTATTAACATCTTACATTACAAATGTGTGATGCATTTGTCAAAATTAATGAACTAGTATCAACACATTATCATTATTTACTCAAATCCATACCTTATACCATATTCAAATTTCTTCAGTTTTCCACTAATGTCCTTTATCTTTTCCAGGATCCCAACCAGGATACAACATTATACTTAGTTGTCATGACTTCTTAGGTACCTCTTGGCCATGACAGTTTGTCGGATGTGCCTTGGTTTTTGTTTGTTTGTTTACATTTTTCGGCCATGAGACATGTGGAATTTTAGTCCCCCTTCAACGGATGGAACTTCCCTGCCCCCTGCACTGGAAGCTCCAAGTCTTAACCACTGGACCACCAGGGAAGTCGGGAGACTTTCCCTATTTCTGAATGACCTTGACAGCTGGGGAGTACTGACTGGTCAGGTACGTCATAGACTGTCCCTCTGATGGAACTGGTCTGATGTTTTTCTTAGAAAGTGTGGGCTGTTGGTGGGAATGCAAACTAGTACAGCCACTATGGAAAACAGTGTGGAGATTTCTTAAAAAGCTGGAAATAGAACTGCCATATGACCCAGCAATCCCACTTCTGGGCATACACACCGAGGAAACCAGATCTGAAAGAGACACATGCACCCCAATGTTCATCGCAGCAGTGTTTATAATAGCCAGGACATGGAAGCAACCTAGATGCCCATCAGCAGACGAATGGATGAGGAAGCTGTGGTACATATACACCATGGAATATTACTCAGCCATTAAGAAGAATTCATTTGAATCAGTTCTAATGAGATGGATGAAACTGGAGCCCATTATACAGAGCAAAGTAAGCCAGAAAGATAAAGACCATTGCAGTATACTAACACATATATATGGAATTTAGAAAGATGGTAACAATAACCCTATATGCAAAACAGAAAAAGAGACACAGATATATAGAACAGACTCGTGGACTCTGGGAAAAGGCGAGGGTGGGATGTTTCAAGAGAACAGCATCGAAACATGTATATTATCTAGGGTGAAAAAGATCACCAGCCCAGGTTGGATGCATGAGACAAGTGCTTGGGCCTGGTGCACTGGGAAGACCCAGAGGGATTGGGTGGAGAGGGAGGTGGGAGGGGGGACCGGGATGGGGAATACATGTAAATCCATGGCTAATTCATTTCAATGTATGACAAAAACCACTGCAATGATGTAAAGTAATTAGCCTCCAACTAATAAAAATAAATGGAAAAAAAAAAAAAAAAGAAAGTGTGGGGACTTCCCTGGTGGTCCAGTGGCTAAAACTCTGTGCTCCCAATGCAGGGGGCCCGGGTTCCATCCCTGGTCAGAGAACTAGATCTCACACCACATGCTACAACTAAAGATCCCACATGCCAAATAAATAAACAAACAAGAAAGTGTGGGTTAGGGGGAGGAAAACCACAGAGGTGGTGTCATTTTCATCACATGTATCAAGGATACAACTAACAACACAACAACAACACAACTGCTGATGCTGACCTTGGTACCTGACTGAGGTTCGTTGGGCTTCTCCACTGTAAAGCTACTCCCTCCTCCACTCCCTGTCCCCTAACCCCACACCCCCTCTTTTTTTGTTCTGTACTCTGGAAGGAAGTCACAACCTGCAGCCCACACATAGGAATGGGGAGTTATACTTCACCTCCTTAAAGTGAAAAAAGTGAAGGTGTTAGTCACTCAGTCCTATCCCAGTCTTTGCCACCGCATGGACTGTAGCCCGCCAGGCTCCTCTCTCCATGGAATTCTCCAGGCAAGAATACTGGAGTGTGTTGCTATTTCCTTCTCCAGGGGATCTTCCAACCCAGGGATGGAACCTGTGTCTCCCGAATTGCAGGCAGATTCTTTACCATCTGAGCCACCAGGGACACCACCTCCCTTAAGGAAGCAAAGTAAATTATTTGGAATTCTTCTGTGTGGGAGATCTGTCTCTTCTCCCAATATATTTATTTATTCAATCATTTATTTATATCAATATGGACTCATCCATATTTATTTTATACTTTGGGTTATAATCTAAAACTATTCTGTTGCTCAAATTATCCCGCTCTGGCCACTGGTGAAAGTCGCTCAGTCATGTCCATGGACCATATACAGTCCATGGAATTCTCCAGGCCAGAATACTGGAGTGGGTAGCCGTTCCCTTCTCCAGGGGAATCGTCCTGGGAATCCAGGGATCAAAACCGGGTCTCAAAACCCTCATTGCAGGCGGATTCTTTACCAACTGAGACGCAAGTGAACCACTTGGCCACTGGGATCACCTTCAATTTGGCTCTTGCATTCATTTTAATTTTTGATACGAATAGATAGAACTCACATAAATAAAATCTCTTTGGGGTCCTGGATAATTTTGAAGAGTGTAAAGGGATGCTGAGACTCAAAAGATTTCAAAGAAACACTTTTCTAACGGACCCCCGCCTGACCCCAGCACCGGGGTGTGGGCACGGTTCTTCTTTAGGAAGAGGCTGCAGCCGAGGCCGAGGCAAAGCAGGCCACGCGCCCCACACCCATGGGGCACCCACTTCTCCGTGCCACCCAGCCCCTCCTGAGGTTTTCTTCCAGTCTGAAAGGCACGAGTCTCCACGGAGGCGAAACTGGCGCCACCACGCCTTTCCAGAAGACGCCACTGCGGGGCGCACGGCTCACAGAATGAGTCACCCACCCGAGAGTCAGGAAGGGGCCTGCATCTTGGCTCCGGCTCAGAATTTTCCTCTGCGGAGCCCGCGCCCTGGTCTGGCCTGATGGCTCTCATCCCCGCGCCGGGCTGTGTTGGCGCGGCCTCCAGGGCCACATCGGGCGTGCAGGTGTGGCGCCCGCGGGAAAGAGCGCGCCTGCGGCACCGGCTGGGCGCGCGAGGAGGAGCTGGCCGGATCTCCAAACCTCAAAAGCGCACCCGCTAGGTGCTCCACCTACCCAGCCCCGCTGAGAGCAGCCGGACAGCTCCCGGGGCCGCGGCCCGACTGGCCGCCCTCCCCTCGCCGGCCAGGCTGGCTGCGCGCGGCTGGCAGACCCTTTCCTCCGCAAGCGCACGAGAGACAGAGATAAACGGCTGCAGCTGGAGACCAGACTAATTGATACAATAAGTTCTATAATTGCCTCGAGAATAAGGTAATGATTTGGCAGAGGGAATGCTTTGATCTTATCAGCCAAGAAAGACCTCTCCAAATGAAATTTCAGAGAGGGGGCTGGAGGCCTCTGACTTCAAGCGTGAAATCCAAGGACTACCTGCTTGCCTCCCCCCTCCCCCATACACCCTGCTCCCTGCCCAGACACCCAGACTTTCACAGAAGGGCTGGAAAGACCCTTCTCAGAAAATGACTGGAGAAGAATATATATGTGTAGAAGGGATGGGTTCTGGGCTGCCAGGAACAGGGGGATGGCTGGAATGATTTCTCAAGCCCTAGAGAGGCTGTAAAAGAGAAAAGAGATGGGGGCAGGGAAGAAGAGGAACCGACTGGGATTATGAAAACCCTGATTTGGTTCAAGCCAGATGAGATTCTTATACAATGAGGGCTTAATTTGGGCTTTTCAGGCAGGAGGGAGTAATAGAAGTAGGAGAACCTTGGTTCTGCCTTCTCCAAGAATCTGCGCGTGTGCAAGAACACGAACACACACACACACACACACACACACACACACACACTTGCTCTTCGCTGTGGGTGTCCCTGCCTGGCAGAGGCCCCAGCACAAAGAGGATTAGAGAGATGAGCTAATCTGGTTTGTATCCCAGACATGGCCCCAGAAAGGGCCTTGTCTACCCTGATGTTCAAGAGGGTGAAGAAGTAACGGATCTGCTGGGGGCCTCTGGGGGCCTGCTGGCTGACAGGATCTGAGGCGGCTGGAGTCCTAACTTCAGGGCGAAGTTCAGAGAGCAGAGAGGCAGAACTCTCAGAAGACAGGATGGGCCATGCTACAAGAAACCAGAGATAAAGGCAGAAAGATAAAGACTGACAGAGGGGAACTAGATATCTACTGTCCTTGTTTCACCAGTGAGGAAGCTGAGGCCCGGAGTGGCCAAGTGGCTTACAGAGTCATATTGTTGAGCTGGGGGGAAAATCTCCAATTTCTTTCAGTGCTGTTGGCACTGACTATGTTGGAGGGACTGCAGAAGAAGGTGTGAAGCAGAGGGCGAGAGAGAGACAGACACAAAGAGAAATAAAGATACACACCGAGAAAAACAGAGAGGAATGCAGACACAGAGCGAAAGAGAGAATCAGAAAAGACATAGAGAGATGAGGTAAGCGAAAGAACCTTAAGAAAGAGACAGTTATACAGATTCTTAGAAAGATGGAGAGACAGAGATATCAAGAGGTGAGTGACAGAGATTGATAGGGAGACAGCTTCCGGCAGAAGAGGGAAGACTGTTAGATATAGACACACAGACAAATGAAGACAAACACCAAGAGGAACAGACACAGAATGACGGAAGTATGAGCCAGAGAGAGACAGACCCAGAGAGATGGAGGCTCAGAAAAGAGGCTGGGAAAGAGGCGGAGTGAACCGAGGAAGGCAGAGTGGGAGGGAGGCAGAGAGCGGGCTCTGCAAATTGTTCTACTGGAAGCAAATCTCACTTCCAGAACAGGTGGTCGGGTGAGAAAGAGAGCTCAGTGTAGCCTATCTGATCCAGGGAGATGGGGGCGGGAGGCGCGGGAGGCAATGTGGGACCACCCTCCCTTGGGGTTAGGCTGGTCAGTGACCACCCAGGATCCCAGCAGCACACCCAGTGGCCTCACACAGAACCTGGGCCACCCGCCCAGGATGGCCGGCAGCCCGCCCACTGCCTGGCTCCAGTCTGATTACAGCCAAAGTGCTACAAGGCCCCAGCCACCCCCCCATGGCCTGCCCCATGGCTCCGCCTCTCCAGGCCTCCTCTCTCCCCTTCTCCCTTAGCTCTCTCTTTGCCTTTCTCCAGGCCCCCTAGGGGTGCTGTCTACTCCCCTGTTTGTTCACCGGCTGGGAAGAAGAGGGTCTCCAGCCCTGTCCCACCAAGCTCCCTTCCCTAGTTTGGGGCCAGATGCTCCTTCCTCCAAAGCCCTCTTGGCCTGGCCTCTTTGAGACATGTTCCATGTCTCGCCTGGGAGCTCATAAATACCAAGGAGAGGCTGGGTCAGGCTGTGTACAAAGCAGAGATCCCCACCCCACACCCCTTAATAGCCCCTGGGTTCTTCCCAAGCTCCCCACTGTTCCCCAGACACCTGCCTGGGGTGGCTGGAGAGAAAGAAATGAAAGTGTGGGGGGGGGGGGGGTGTGCACCAGGGGCCTGGGTGAACCTGGCCCCATTTCAAATGAGATTTGCCTAGGTTTGCAAAGAAATCTCAGGAAAGGCGTCTCAGGGCCCCTTGTGCAAGCAGCAGGCTCAGGAATTCCTTGACTCCTATCCAAACCTCCCCCCAGCCCCTTCTCGGCCTTTCTCTCTGCTCGTTACCATCCACACCACCTCCCACCCACGGGGAAAGAGAGAAGGTCATCGCCAAAGGGGCCCAGGGAAGGGGGGCCTTTAAGGGGGGCAGGCCTGGGTGGAGAAAGAGCTGTTTACTCACACCCTAGCTCCCCTTAGCTCATCTCCTCTCCCATCCAAGGGCCAGTCAAAATTTAAAATCATTCAGCCACACACAGCTGAGAATAGTGGCTACTCACTTAGCTCTGAGTGGCCCCCTGGGGGAAGTGGAGCAGGGGGTAAGGTCCAGGGGTGAGGGAGACCCTTTTCTATGGGGCACTCACTTTAGAGAGGGCAGGAGGCTCTGGTGCACCTTGATGGAGGAGGAAAGTTTGGCTCTGCCAGTCGGGTGGAACCGGGCCTGTTGGAGGCCCCAGGGAATCTAGAGGCCTGGGGGAAGGGGAGGTCGGCAGTGAAAGCCCAGCATCCAAGGCCTCAGATGACTTTATTGTATTTGCATGAAAATACCCTGGGGGTAAGACCCTTTCACTCCTTCAGTGTCATTTAGGAGGCCCTGGCCAGGCTGGGCACAGCAGGACCTCAGTGAGTGACCTGACTCCAGGCAGGACCCTGCAGAGCAGAACTTGACTCTCAAGCCGGTGACTCCTCCCCTGGCTCCCATTATGGTGGAGTAGCGGTGGGGGGTGGGAGGGAGGAGCAGGTCAGGCGCTAGCCTGAGCCTCTGGCCTTGACCCTCTGCCTGGAAGCCCCACAACAAGCCCTTGCGTGAGGAGCTGAGCTCTCCAGTAGAGTCTAGGACCTTGAGACTGGAAGTTTATTTTGAGATTTGAACTGCAAAGTGGCAGATCCCAGAAAACCTCTTCTCTGACTCCGTATTTGTTCTCTAGTTAAGTGGCTGAGTGCAGCTCTTGCAGTCAGCTGGCTCCTGCGCCTGGGGTTCCTCGTGGGGAGTTAGGGGCTCAGAGGGGAGGGGGGAGAAGAAGGAGCGAAGCCCCATCCCGGTTGTCCACTCTAGGGCAGAGGTAGCCTGTAAGCATTGGGGAAAAGTCTTGTCCCCTCACCCACTTCCCTCCCTCTTGGAGCTGCTGTTTCTGGGGCGCCCCTCAGTTCAGCAATATGCTTTAATAGTTGAGCATCTATGTTGTGCCAAGACACGGTCCCACTTGACTATGAAGACAGCTGAAGCCAAAGAAGGGGCCTCGTAAGTGAGTTTGGGGCCCATGTGGGTGAGTCCACCCAAGGTTAGGGCTGATGTGGTCATCTCCAGTTCCCCACCCCACAACCTCAGGCCCATATGTAGAAATAAACACAAGGCCAGAGTCACACCCAGGCCTCCGCACACAGGGGAGTCTAGGAGAGGCTGCCAGAGCTCGCAGAGCTTGCAGACTGCTGCCCAGCATCAGGGTGGGGCTGGGCTGGGAGGAGGTGAAAGAAGGGTGGAAGGAAAGGGGTCTGGACAGGAAAGAGCCTGGGCCTACTCCTCTTTCACCTGCCCCTCTCAGGGAAGCTCAGTATAGAGTTGGCTGCTTTTCGGGGAAACAGAAGGATGGACTGGAGCTTCCCAGACTGAGAGAGAGAAGAGAGGGGAAGGGTCCGGTTGGCAGGGAAGAATGTGGCTAGCATGCTAACGTGGTCTCTGTATTCACCCCTTGCCACTCCCATCCAATTCCTGTCCAGCCCCCATTTCCTACCTCCTCCAAGGGTGGGCACCTTCTCTGTTGCATGAGGCTTTGAATGTCCCCTTAATGGGGCCTACCTTGAACAACTCTTGTTTCCCCCTCTACTTATCACTTTCTAACATGCCATGTGTTTTACTTGTTTACTGGTTATTGTCGATCTTTTTCCAGTATAAGTGAAACTCCATACAGGCAGACATTGTCCATTTTGCTTTGTTTCACTTATGTGCCTAGCACAGGCTGGCACATGGTAGGGAATAAATATTTGTTGAATTAATGAACCCACTCCGCCCCCTGCCACAGAAAGTGAGGTGAAGGGGTGAGAGATGTGGAGAGGGGATAAAGGTCTCCCTGAGCCCTGCTCCCTCCTGTCTGCCTCTGGGACGCCTGCAGCCTCTCTGCAGCCAGCTGCGCCCTGTCGACTCACACTCCGGAGTCTCTAACGCCGACCCCCCTTCCCCCCCAACCAAGAACTGACAATGAGTTTGGGGTTGAAGGGGCTGGGCAGTTTCCAGCGCGTTGTTTACACCAGGGCTTTATAGTTTAGATAAATCACGGGGAGAGGCATGAAAGACACCTGGGAAAGAGGGGCTAGGCAGGAGAAACTGAGGCTGGAGAAGCCGCTGGGGCCAGACCCCAGGTGTACTCTGAAAGTCGGGAAGATCCAGGGTTTTTCAAAAAGAATTTTTAGGTCTCAGTAAGGGCCACCCTGTCTCCAGAAGCTCTACCTGCCAACCTAAGAAGTGCGGAGGGAAGAAGGGGGTCAGTTTCTACAGCTGCCAGCCCCCCAACCCCTTCACAATTTACCATGCCTCCAGGCTGCTGG